TGAGGGTTTGATCCCTATCTGGCTGCATATAGGAGGCAAATAATCAATGTTACTCTCTCACATCGATGTTTCTCTCTCTCCCTTCCTCTCTCTCTAAAATCAATGAAAGCATATCCTTAGGTGAGGATTAAAAAAAAAACAGCCTGGCCAGCATGACTCAGTGGTTGAGCATCGACCTATGAACCAGGAGGTCAGGTTTCGATTCCCAGTCAGGGCACATGCCCAGATTGCAGGCACAATCCCCAGTGTGGAGCATGCAGAAGGCAGCTGATCAGTGAGTCTCTCTCAGCATTGATGTTTCTCTCTCTCTCTCCCTCTCTCTTCCTCTCTGAAATCAGTAAAAATATATTTAAAAAAGAAAAGAAAAAAAAATTAGTGAGAGGAGAACCAAGATGGTGGCAGAGGTAAATGCAGGTACTTGCCACCTCCCACAACCACATCAAAATTTCAACTAAAATATAGAACGATCATTATTCAGCACTGCCTGAAATCTGGCTGAATGGAAGTCCTACAACTAGAGAAGTAAAGAAGAAAGACATGGAGAGACAGAGGCGCGGACCTGGCTGCTTCGACATGTGTTTTTAATTGGGAGGGAGATGTCTGCTTTGGAGGCCTCCTTTGAGAAGCAAGGGGTCCCAGCCCCATATGAGACCCCCAGCCCAGAGTTCCAGAGCAGGGAAGAGAAGTCCCTGTAACTTTGGGTTGTAAAAACGAGTGGGGAGTGTGGGTCAATGACATACGGAAGCTGCTGGAGACTTAGGCAGTTCCTCTTAAAGGGCCAGCACACAGACTTACTTGGACTCTATCCCTCTGAGCTCTAGTGCTGGGTGGTGGCATTGGGGGAACCAGAGAAATACTGAGAGGAACTGGATTGTCTGGCATTGGGGCAGGAACAGATTTCTCCCAGAGGGAGGTGCTCTGAGGGGTCATTGTTCCTATGCTGGGACCTCTCCTGTCCCAGAGCTGACTGGCAGCCATATCTGAATTTCCATCAGCCTAGCTCACACTGTCTGCTCCACCCTGGTGATTCCCTGAGATCCCACCCCATCCTACTTGCAGCCCCACCCAAGCTGTTTGCAGCGGCTTTTCCATATGAATGGCCTGTCCTGGCTCAGGCTTCAGACTTTCCTACAATCTCTTAAACAAGCAGCAGCTGGTATCAGCATGCCCCAAACCTATCAATAGGAGCCCAAGACCTGGCACTAGCACCAGCCTGCCTTGCTTCACAATTTGGCCTCGCCTGGGCACTTCCAAGCCAAATACAAATAACAGCCATCTACAGATTGCCCAGTAGCTCTTGTTGAGTGGCAGCAGGCAGTGGCTGACTGCACAGAAAAACTTATAAAGTTAATAAAAGAGTTTAGCAAAGTTTCAGGACACAAGATCCCTGTCCATATCTGAGTTTGGAGGCCTCAGAACTAGTGTACCTGAGCTGGCTAAGACACCAAAGAACTGAAGACTGATGCTCACATAAGTACCTGTGACAGCATGTCACTGAAAGATAGAGACAGACCAACTGTCCATCAACTAGGAAACAATAAACTGTTGTGGCTCTAGTGGGTTTGGCTCAGTGGATAGAGCAGCGGCCTGTGGACTGAAGAGTCCATGCTTTGATTCCGGTCAAAGGCATGTAACTCGGTTGCAGGTTCTTCCCTGGTCAGGGTGCATGCAGGAGGCAACCAACTGATGTGTTCTCTCAAATCAATATTTCTGTCTTTATATCTCTCTTCCACTCTGTCTAAAAATCAATAGAAAAATATCCTCGGGTGAGGATTAAGAAAAACAGAAAACAAACTGTTAATAAATACAACTAGAGGCCCAGTGCACAAAAATGTGTGCACTTGGGGGGGGGGCGTCCCTCAGCCTGGCCTGCACCCTCTCCCAGTCTGGGACCCCTCAGGGGATGTCCACCTGCTTGGGGGGGGGGGGTCCTGCTGGGGTGCCTGGCCAGCCTGGGTGAGGGGCAGAGTGCCGGGAGCCGGTCCATGCTTGCTGTTTCAAGGGACCTGGCACATATGGCATACTGTTCTTAATATGTTTGCTCACCTTCTTGGCACTATGTGTTTTAACCAAGGTCTCTGAGAAAGGTTGTTTCCCCAGGTAGGGATTTTCCCCTGAAGTTAGGGAGGGAATAAAACCTCTTAACTAAGTGCCAGGCGGGTAATTAATCACTTTAACTATGAACAATCATGCTTAAGCTACATAATGGAGATAAGAAACGCCCTAACCTTTGTAATAGAGATTGATAGGATTGAATCAACTGGTATAAATACAGTTGTAACTAGACAGCAAGATACAGAACTTAGAATACAGAACTTAGAACACAGAACTACTAAGAAGACAGAACGAGGAGAGACAGAACCTAGGCACAGAACCTACACAGAACGTTCTCTAGAGACAGAAGAAATTCGCTGGAGAGAACATGGCAAAAGATCCTGGACAGAAACTGGCCTCAGAACCTAGAGACAGAACCTAGCGAGAGAACATGGCAAAAGATCCTGGACTGAACCTGACTACAGAAACTGGCAAGAGAACCTGACTAGAACCTAGTGACTGAACCTGGCTGGAGAACCTGGACAGAACCTGGCTGGAGAACCTAGCGAGGGAACATGGCTACAGAACCTGGCTGGAGAACCTGGAGAACCTAGCAAGAGAACATGGACTCAGAACTTGGCTGGAGATCCTGAACCAGAACTTCGCTGGAGATCCAGACCAGAACTTGGCTGGAGATCCTGGCTAGAGATCCTGGCTAGGCTGCTGATCAACTGAACGCTGTCTCCGTGTCATTCCTTCTTTGCCGACTCCGTCCACACCTTTGGGGACCCCTGGACCAGCTGGGGCAGGACCCTGGCAGCAGAGGGCCGTTTTTAGGCTGGCCACAGCCCCTTCAGGGTGGAGGTCCCCACTGGGGTGCCTGGCCAGCCTGGGTGAGGGGCTGATGGCTGTTTGCAGGCTGGCCACAGCCCCTTTGGGGGGAGAGGGGGGTCCCACTGTGGTGCCTGGCTAGCCTGGGTGAGGGCTGTTTTCAGGCTGGCCACATCCCCTTCAGGGTGGGGGTCCCCACTGTGGTGCCTGGCCAGCCTGGGGAGGGGCTGATGGCTGTTTGCAGGCTGATCAAGCTCCCCCAGTGGGGACCCTCATCCCATGGGGCTGTGGCCAGCCTGGGTGAGGGGCTGATTGCCGTTTTCAGGCTGGCCACGCCCCCTGGAGACCCAAGCTCCCAGCCTGTCCTTTTTTTCTTTCTTTTCAGCAGGTATCTGGAATTTATTTATCTTCTATAATGGAAAATTTGTAGCCTTGAGCAGAGCTGACTGGCCAGGGCTGGCCAGGGCAGGTGGGAAGCTTGGCTTCCTCCATCACCGTGGGCAACCCAAACCTCCTGCTTGCTTCAGCTCAGTGGCTGCCACCATCTTTGTGATGGAGTGATGGAGTGATGGTTAATTTGCATATCACTTTTTTTTTAGATAGGATGAATTGTTATTCTGACATGGAATGAAGAACATGATAAATGGTTACATCTGGATACATTATGCAACTGAAGGACAAAGGGTGACATATTGTATCATTCCATTTATATGAAATGTCCAGAATTGATAAATCTATAGAGACAGATACAGATTTGTATTTGCCAGGGGCTGAAGGAGAAATGACTTATGAGTAAAGGGTTTTACTTTTAAGAGATGGAAATGTTTTAGAACTGGAGGTAAGAGTTGCTCAACATTGTAACTGTATAAATGGCACTGTAGTATTTTTTTAAAATATATTTTATTGACTTTTTTACAGAGAGGAAGGGAGAGAGATAGAGAGTTAGAAACATCGATGAGAGAGAAACATCGATCAGCTGCCTCCTGCACATCTCCCACTGGGGATGTGCCCGCAACCCAGGTACATGCCCTTGACTGGAATCGAACCTGGGACCCACTGAGCCAAACCGGTTTCATTTTACTTTAACCCCTAGAGTACCAGGGAGCGTGATCGCACTCCTCCTGTCTTTTGCCAAAAGTGCCGGGAGTGCGATCGCGCTCCTCCTGCAGTGTCACTATTAGATGCTAGTAGTTCACTCTTTATTGACAGGTGGCACTCAAAGGGTTAAAATGGTTTTGCTATGTAAATTCCAATTCAATAAGTTATTACCAAAAAAATTTTGAGGGTGGTGTTTCTTGCATCAGTCAAGACAGAATGAACTTTACAAAGCAGGTGGATCTGAGCAACAGCAGGGTGAGTGGTGTGGACGTTGCTGGCAACCTGCAGAACAATTGCTTTGTGTTGGGGGGTAACTCAGAGCTGCTGTGCTTGCCCTGGGGGCTGTTGAGCCACCTCTCCACCCCCTGCTCCCATGGATGACTGGACAAAACCCTGGTGTCAAGTGGGATCTGTGGGGCAGCTTGTCCTGCAGAGGATCCCTGAGCGGGAGGGCAGGGAGATGAAAGCTGGCCCTGCTGAGCCCACACCTGCTCAGCTTCTGCTTCTGCTCCTGCCCTGCTCCAGCCACTGCTTTTCTGAGAGAACTGCCCCAGGAAGTTAGGGAAGAGGTGGCTCCTCAGGCTCTGCCTGGAAGGACCCTGATGCACAATGGTTATGTAAAACCAATATCAATGGTGAGCCTTAGGGTATTTGAAATACATCTCAATAAAGTCATTACATTTAAAAATACTTGTTATTTACAGTAACTCAAAGGTGTTTTGTTTTTATTGTTTTTAAAAGCCCACCTCACCAGAGTAACACATTCCTGTAAATCCTTGTTCAGCTTTAATCTCTTAAATAGAAATAGTAGTAAGCATCTGTAACTTAGAGGGGAAAAGTTTGTTCTCCCCCCCACCCCAAACTCATTCTTTTTAAAACACTCAGTGGCAGTGAGTGGTCTCTATCCCAGTAAGTACAGAGTTAACCTAGGTGTCCCCAGACATCAGGGCAGTCTCCTGCACTATGGCGGTTGGAGATCTGCAAATTCTTTCATGCTGTTGGCCCAGTGAAAACCAGACCCACAAAACACGCACGTGTTCAATGGTTATGTAATCCAATCTTTATTGTAAAAGGAAAACATAAAAAATACAGTGGAAATGACGTACAAGATGATCACTAAGCACATCAGTGAGCCACAGGTACTGGAGAGAAGGGCATGTCTGTGCCCTGGCTGCCCGGGCACCACGTCCCACCATTGCTTGGAATGGGAAGGAATGCCTCATGCTGAGGTTGGGCTTTTAACTGTTCTGGGAGACAAAAAAAAAAAACAACACCAAAATTTCCTTATATTTAAGAGACACACGAAGCAGGTTCCAAGATTCTCTTCTCTGTCCAACCCTAGAGAGGGATTGATCTCCAATCCTGGTCAGGGTCTGGATGGTGATGCCCTGTCCCTGTCCTTCAGCACAGGGGGTGGCTGTAGATGGTTGGATGTGGAAGGTCATGAAGTTTCTCAGTTCAGAGCCGGAGCTGTGAAGGGAGAGGCATCCTCGGGCTCAGGAGGGAGGCAGGCTCTTGGTGCTGCCACACTGCTCTTGGTCTGGCAGTTCCTCTTCCTTCTGCTCCAAATCAATGTTCTGTGGACAAGGTTTCGGGTGAGGCCTGGCCCTATGCTTGCCTGCCTGCGGCGATACATCCACGGCGGTGCATGTGCCAGCAGGTGCTGCCTGCAAGAGCCACTCTGTTGGCTTATGCTCCGTACCCTCTGAAGAGAAGCCTTTTTGGGATCCCCCCTAACACTGGGGCCTGACCTACCTCAAGCTCCTGCAAAACCTCATCCATGAAGTCCTGGGAATTCTGCTTGTAGGACACAGCTAATCGAATTGCGTCATTGAAGAGCTGGGGAGGAAGGAAAACATGGCCATGGGTGCCAGTGTCCTGGGCTCTGCCTGCCTTGGACCCACTGGCCAGGTTTTAAGTCCACACAACACTTAAGTCCAATATCAGCAAAGTCACCCCTTAATTTACTTTCTTCCCATCAGCCTGACTCCACCCATGGGCCCATTAGCTCCCCTGTCAATGCCACAGGGACCCCTACCTGTCAGCCCCAGTGCCCACCCCCTCTGCCAGTCCTTCTCTTGTGGTTTCCCTGTCCTTCACCACCTGGCTGTCTGACCTCTGCAGACCAGTATTACCTTCACCACGTTGGTGCCATCAGCAGCTGAGACAAAGTACAGGGGTAGGGAGAACTTCCTGGCAAAATTGAAGCTTTTTTGGGTCACCTTCATGTCAGCTGTAGAGAGAAGGTAGGAGACAGGCCTGTCCATCCAGGGAAAGAGAGAGGGGTTTGCAGGGTGGGTCACCGGCAGCCCCATTCCAGAAAGTGGGCTCTTTACTGGGAAGGGAGTGAGGGCCTCCAACCAATGGCTGTGTCTTGGGAAGGATGAATCATTGAAGACTCATGTCCCTGGAAAACTGGAAGAAACCTGTGGTGGGTCCCCATGAACTGCTGACCCCAGACCCAGGGGTGGCCCTACCATCGATTTTATTGGCCACCACGACACACGGGATCTCTGGCCTGAACTCCCGAAGCTCCGTGTACCAGGTGCCCAGGTTCTTATACGTGACTTTCCTTTGCACATCGAACACCTGCAATAAGCAGAGAAGTAGCTCGGGTGTGTCAACGTCTCCATATGCCACCTAGGCAACTCGCCCACACGGGCAGTGAGCTTGGTGCACATCACAGGCTTGGGAACTGGGACTGGGCCCCTGCTGAGCTGCAGTCTCTCTGACCAGAGGCTGTACCTGTGCCCACCCTTCTCCAGAAAGCCCCCAGAATCAAAGTGGTTTTAAAAATCTTTTTTTTCCATCTTGTCACCTAATTTATTTATCTATTTTAACCATGTTGTATCATCTTACTAATCAATAGTTTGTAAAAAACTGTAAACTTTTTCCTTAGTCTATTATTTTTATTGCTGAAAGTGTTTTAAAATTCCTTTGTAATAATGTAAAGTGTTTCCAGAAGTTCACTTTAGATACTATTATTTACTTTAAACTCTAATCCTCTAACCTTCTGTTCACTTTGTACTGCAAACTTTTAAAAGTTAATTTTTACATTTTATTATTTTGTAGCTTTTAATTTTATTAACTTTTTGGAACTTGTAGTTTTTACCTACTTTAAAATACCAGCAGGAAGTGTGAGCACCTCAGATTTGCCCTAATGCCTCGAGTTGCTGTGCAGGGACCCTCAAGCCCCTCGGAGGCCAGCCTCCTGCTTCCAAGCTGTCTGTCCTCTGGAATAAACTCACTGCCCTGCACCACCCCACACAACAGGGGATGTGACGACAAGCCTGTCTCCTGCTGGAATGGCTGCTATTACTTCTAGATGGCCCAGCCTTTCGTGGGAGCTACATGGACCAGGACCAGGCCTTGCGTGCACGCGGCAGGTGTAGATCAGCAGCTGTCACATCCAGGACAGCGGGAGGTCCACCTGGGAGGCTCATCCATGGTTCTCCCAGGACCAATGCCAACAAGTGACCAGGTTGTCTTGAAATCCCAACAGACTTCTTGTAAAGCATTCTTGTGACAAAACTCCTGCTTCATACCAGGCTGCCTCCCGTGATCACCATCCAACAGTCACCTTTTCCCAGGTCTTATTTCTGGAGCTTCCTCTCCTCATTGTGGGAGCCAAGGAGCTGGCTGAGATGAGGAGCCCTCCTGTCAGAGGTTCAAGGTGAGGGTGGAACCCCAGCTCCCTCTGGGACTATGGGATCCCCTTGTGGTCATCAGAGATAGGTGCTTTCTGCCTGCCAGGCCATGCAGCAGGAGGGACTGCACGCCAAGCCCCAGAAGAGGGTCCAAGAGGAGCCCATGGAGGCGTGTCAGAGGCCAGAGGAGGTCACTCCAGAGAGAAAAGAGAAGTGAGCTCTGAGCACCAAGGGCCAGGGCTGAACTAAGGCAGAGCGGCTGGGACCCACCTTCCCTGCTCTCCAGGGTCATGTGTGACTCCTGGCATGATACTGCCCTCACTGCCTCACCTTGCCACCCTCTTCTGTCCCCTTGCAGACATTAGCTAAAATTCTGGAAAATTTCAAGGGCTTTTGTACTTAAGGGAGAGTAGGACCAGAGAGTTCGGGGGCAGGCCCTGAAGGACAGTGGCTGACAGGCTGACACAAATCTCTCATGTCCTGGCTCTTCCCAGTGCTGTTTCCTGTCCTGCTGTGACACTATGACCCAGCCTGGGCTGCAGGGGGCACCTCAGGATACTGTTCTAGACAGCGAGATAAAGGCTGGGAGGGAGAGGAAAGGGCTGGTTTGGGAGGGAAAGCCCCCTGAGAACTGCTTTCCTTTTAGCCCCCCAGCGTCTGTCCTATGTGAGCACCACCAGGATGGTCATGGGAGACCTCAGGAGCCCCCTCAGTATTGCTGGGCCCCTTGCCCCTCCCCCCCAGGCTAGAATTGCCCAGAGTCTTCGCCCACCTCCCAGCAGGTCTCATACCATGATGCAGGCGTGGGCCTTGTGGTAGTAGGAGGCATGCATACTCTGGAACCGCTCCTGGCCCGCCGTGTCCCAAAAGTCTGCAATATGAACACAGCTCTGACTGCCTGACAGGCTGGAGGGCAGGGACCCTGAGCATCTCCACGCAGGTGTCTGCGCGGAAGCATGGGAGACATGGAGTCCACCCAGCGTGCTATCAGGACCCAGGGAGCCTGGCTGAGCTGAGAGGCCTGTGCACACTTGTGTGCATGTGGGTGGATGAGAGGAGGCACAGGGCCAGGAGGATGGAGAATGCAGACAGGAAGCCCCAAGGAGAAGCTCCCTCCCACCCCCATGTCCCCCTGTGTGGTGACTGCAGATGGTGAACACGGTTAGGGAGGATGTTGGGCCTGGCCAAGGGGAAGGTTGTCACCTCACGGTAAGTCAGAGCCCTTTGTGGAAGAGAATTTTCAGACCATGTTTGTTATGTCTGGACGCTGGCTCCATCAGAACAGGAGGTCAGAGCACTGGAAATGAGCCCCTGCATCTTCCTCCCCTCGCAGGCCTCCAGGCTCTCAGCAGGTGGCCTTCCTGCCACCCCTCGCCTGCATCCCTACTGGGGTCTCATTTCCTCCCACTGGATTCTCTCCCTCAGACCTTGTCTCCCTCCCACCCCCCACCCCCCACCCCCCACCCCCTGCCTGAGAGTTGGAGTAATTGTGTTGCTCACCCACAAGAATGGTCTTGCCATCCACAGTAGCTGTGTGCTTATACAGGGTCAGGGCATACGTGGATAGCTGCTGGGGCTGACTGTGGTCAGGTTAAGGAGCAAAGGTGAACAAAAAGGGGAGAGGTTGGTGTGACAGAATGGGCTCTTTCTCTCCTTTTCTTTCTGGCATTATTTCGATTTTATATGGAATGAATCAGCCTCAGGTATCTCTGGCACCAGCTCCATGGGCGAGGACGAGTGGGAGAGCCCGGCAGCGTGTCCTGACCTCCTGGGTCCGAGGGGACCCCTGGAACGGAACTTCACAAACAGGCTATCATAAGCAGCGCCACGTGTTACTTTAGCAATATGACTGTTTCAGGGAAGAAAGCTACCACAAGCCAGACAGCTGACCAGCTGTGAACTGTAGTTGGCCTGTGTGTGAAACCCCAACAGGACCCCTGCGGGTAACCCTTCCTGAAGCAGCAAGACGTGGGCAGTCACCCCTGGGACACAGGACATGCAGGTGGGTGGGTGTAAGGGAGACCTGATGGAAGGTGAGGCAAGAAACGCCCCAACTCCCTCACCCACAGTTCCCAGTGGGTTCACCTGGGAAGCTTTGTAAACTATCCTGGTTGCCAGGCAGGTCTCACTCCCAACCTGCAGCACGAACGATTCATGGGGAGAGGGTGGGGCTGGCAGCTCATATTTCATAGAGCTCATTCACACCAGAGAATTATTAAGTATCAGGAGCCCAAGCTTTGAGTGAGATAGGTGAAGTGATTTGCACAGGGATCCAGGCCTTTGGCAGGCACTATTAGCCACTCTACCGCCCTCCTAATATATAGCAAATCCAAATATGAATAAGGCCCAATATATGCAGCATTTCAAACCTTGAAGGATACAATCCATCCATGAGAAATCTCTCCATGAGTCTGTAAGGAGAACGTGCACGATGGTCAGGCACGTCCCCCCGGGGGCCACCAGCTGAAGTCACCTGTGGCCCCTCCCATTCGATCCTCAGCCACACAGGTTCCCTTTAAGGATGATGCCCAGGACCTCCCTCTTCCTGACTCCCCTGAAGTTCCCAGCACACACAGCTGCTCTGCCCACGGCAGGCACCACAGCAGCTGATCAGCAGCGCCAGCTGAAGAAGCAAAGACCCGTCACCTGAGCTCTGCGTGTGTCTATGCTGGAGATCTGTGTGGACCATAGTAAACGCAACCGATCTAAAATTGAACCTGTGTAACCAACTAGATCTGATCCTGCCGAGGGACCTAGTTAGTGCCATCCCTCCTTCTTCACGCCTGGAACCTGGGACTTACATGACTAACCTCCATGACCTAACAGCTCACGCTGCTGTGTGCACCAGTCCTGTGAGGCTCGGAGATCCACTATCTCCACCTCTGCACTGTGGACACCGCAGTCACCACTGCGTTATAAATGGGAAGCTTGAGGCCAGGAAGGCTGTATCCCCAGCCTGAAATCTGTTTCCCCCACAATCTGCAGGTCTTCCAGGCTTTGGTCAAAGGTCACCTGAGCAATGAGACCTTCCCTGATTATCATATTTATGACGAGCAGGCAAGTTCTATCTCACCTTGCAGTGCCTCGCTGCCCCGCAGGTAGCACCAATGGAAACATACATATTTTACTTATGATATCTCTCAGATAGAGTGGAATGCACATGGAAGCAATTTTTGAATTTTTAGTTTATTTCTGCATCCCCAGGGCCTCGGTAAAAAAACATCTAGACTGTAACCACCTTCCAAACACCATGGCATATTGCAGCCATGCCCTCACCCCCACAAGCAAAGGCTGAGTGAGGAGCCGAGCAGACTTCCATGCTTTTGAGACTGTAACTAGTGTCCAACAAGGCCAGGTAGGGAGTGGACTTCTTCCCTGCAGAGGGTAACAAGGTTCCCTCCCCCCACAGTGTCAGCTGAGACCTCACAGTCAGAGGCGGTGGGTGGGGGTGGTGCAGCCCCTCCTCCTTCCCCAGTGAAGAGCACCACAGGAAGCCAACTCAGACAGAAGTTTAAATAACACAATATTCAAATGTCCCAGTTTCAGCAGAAAATCATTCATCATACCAAGAACCAGGAAACTCTCCAACAGAATGCAAAATGACGATCAGCAGACACCAACACTATGACAAGCCAGATGTTGCAATCATCTGACAAGGCTGATAAAGCAGCTTCATAAAAATGCACCACTGAGCAAGTGCAGATGTGCTTGAAGTAAATGAAAAATATAGCAAGTCTCAACAATGGACTACTTTTCAGCACAGAAATAGAAGATATAAATAAGGACCCAACACTAGGAAGAATTAACGCCAGTAAAAAGTCCATACTTCCCAAAGCAATCTATAATGCCAATGCAATTCCCATGAAAAGACCAATGGCGTATTTCACAAACTTAGGACAAATAATCCTAAAGTGTATATGGAACCACAAAAGACCCTGAATAGCCACAGCAATCTTGGGAAAGAAGAACAAAGTTGGTGGAATCATGCTACCTGATATAAAACTATACTACAAGGCCATAGTAATCAAAACAGTATGTTAGTGACATAAAAACAGACACACAGATCAATGTAACAGAATAGAGAGCCCAGAAATAAACCCACACCTTTATGGTCAATTAATAAGTGACAAAGGAAGCAAAAACATACAATGGGGTAAAAACAGTCTGTTCAATAAATGGTGTTGGGAAAACTGCATAGATAACATGCCAAAAAAAAAGAAGAAAGAAAGAAACTAGACCACCTTCTTATATTGACTTTTGTTTTTGGATATGTCTCCTTGGACAACAAAAGAAAATATAAACAAATGGGATCACATCAGACTAAATGAGAGCTGCACTGGGTGCTGGGGGCATGAATTCATGAAGACAGCCTGAAACCAGCAAATCCCCAGAGACTCATTCACAGCTACTCAAGTCCAAGGCCTTGTTAGTCAAAGATAAAGGTGGACAACAATGTGGTTCTGGAGCACCTGGGAGGGAAGATTACACAAGACATTTGTTTGGGGCAGGTCCACCCTCATTCTGTGAAGGCAGAAATGGATGTGTGCCCTTGCTAGCTCAAGACAGGTGAGAACTAGGATCACAGCTCCTGGAGAGAAGGTGCCAGAGCCTCCGTTCCAATCTTGTGCACACAGGTACTGACATCAGTTAAAAAATAAGCCAAACTTGCCCTAGCCAGTTTGGCTCAGTGGATAGAGCATCAGCCTGCAGACTGCAGGGTTCCAGGTTCAATTCCAGTCAAGGGCACATGACGGGGTTTGGGCTCAATCCCCAGTAGAGGGCGTGCAGGAGGCAGCCGATCAATGATTCTCTCTCATCATTGATGTTTCTCTCGCTCTCTCTTTAAAATATATTTTTTAAAAATTAAGCCAATCTTTACGTTGAGCATGCTTAGTTGTGATTTCTACTCGCTCTTTGAGCTCAGTGAGTCCCTCGGTGAAAGCATTTTTACTACCTTTACCCGGTCTGTCACTGGTTGTGTTAGTCACATCTGTCACACTTCCTCCAACTTCAGTCTCTCAGTCCACAACCACATACAGGAACACCCCAGTTCTCCCTCCTCAGCCTGGACTGCTCCACACCGTCTGCCAGTACTCATGGAAAAAGCTCAACTTCCTTAGTCCTATGACTTGAGCCCCCACAGGTGCTGATGTGATCCCCTAGTCTCCCCATTTCCCCAGTGCACATCTGGGCTCCAGCCAAACTACTCTCATGACTTCCACAGAAGCTGTGCTCCACTGTGCCTCCAGAGAACTTCTGAGAGCTCAGACCCACTCTGGGCCCTGCCTTTCTCCCCCAATTTCCCAACATACTTGGACTTGCCCACAGCGCTGTCCCCCAGGCAGATGATCTTCACGTTGTCATCAGCATCATATTTCTCTTGGTCCACCTCACAGGGGCTGGCTTTGTCCCTGGCCATTGGCCCCTGGCTCAGCTCAGGGGAGGGGGCTATCTGTATGGACAGGGGAGAGAAGGAGCGGGTGAGAGGGGCCCGAGGACACAGGTACCCCTTCTCTATTCACCACCACCTGGCCCACGCCCGCTGAATCAGCGGGCCGTAATCTCTCACCCCACCACGACCCCCTCAGAGTGGTTGACTCTGTCATCTCCTTACCACAGACACACGCTCAGGGCCATACCGCCCACTCCCACCCGGAGAGAGAGTACAGGCTTTCTACACACAGTTTTCTCATTTGTAAAACAGGGAGACAACGCAGTGCCCGTGTCGTGTGACCGACGTCAGACTCTGTCAAAGACACGGCGCTCTGTAGCCTGGGCCGCCATCACTGAATCACAGTGACAGGCCCCCAGCAGAAGCAGGCCCTGTCCTCCCGAACCTCTGCCTCAAGCCTCTCGCCACCGCTCCATTCCCGGCGCGCCCACGAGACGCCGCCCCAGCAGCGCCCGGAGTGGCCACCTCCGAGCCCTGCGGTGGTGGGCCGTCCTCCGCACCCAACGGCAAACGCCCTCCCTCCACAAATATCTGGGGGCGGCGGACAAGTCTGGGGCCCGCCGCCCGCACCTCTTGGGCCCTGCCCTCCATCCCGGGTGCCCGGGGGGCCGTGCGGACCCGCACCCCTAGGACCCGTCCGCTCGGACGCACGGGGCTCACGCAGCGCCGCACCGGCTTCGGACTCGGCCGCGTCCCCGCAGCTGCTACGCAACGGCGCAAGGACCCCGACGAGGGCTGCCCGACCGAAGCCTGAAGGACCCCACGAGGCGCGGCTGCCTAGCGCGGTGCCGGCGGGAGGACGCGGGGGGGGGGGGGGGGGGGAGGGGGGGGGCGGGGGGGAGGGGGGGGCGGGGGGGGGGGGGGGGGGGGGGGGGGGGGGGGGGGGGGGGGGGGGGCGGTGGGGAGGGGGGGGGGCGGGGAAGCAGGGGGCAGTAGGGGCGGCCTCGGGCTCGTGGAGGCCCGAGCCTGGGTCAGCGGGCCCGGGACTAAATCGGGGCTTCCGTGCTCAGGCCTCCTGGGATGGCGGGACAGCGGGCCTCAGGCGTGGGGGTAGGACCCCAGGGAAGGCCCCCTGCGGGCGTTGGGGCACAGGTGCGGAGGCTGCCGCTGCGCCCAGGGACCCCTGGCTTGGCCACCGCCTTCAGGAAAGTGGTGGAGGGTGACGCTTCAGGGGCGGGAGGCACATGACTGGAGAGTTCTAAAGTTTGCAGTTCTCCGGTGGGTGAATTTGAGTTCATTTTTCTTTGCGGCGACATTTGTTATTAACCATGAGTCGAGACAGCCGCCACCGAACCTGGTTGAGCAGGGAGCCTAGCCCTCCCTCGGCACCGCCGGCCCAGGTGCATCCATGGATTCTGTCAGCAAGGATCTGTGCGGAGCAGGTGTGCGCCAGGCCAGCCATTCCTTCCAGGGACTGAGCTACCGCCGAGAGCAAAGCGGAGTTGCCCTCGTGGAGCTGAGCGCCCGGTGGGCAGGCAGGCGTTAATCAAGTGCCTGCACAAGAATGTTCCGGAGGACCCTCCGAAGGAAATGCGCTAGGAGGCGGGAGACGAGGCATCAGGACTGGGAAGTCTAGGGGCTGAGTAGACGCCATCCAGGGGGAAACCCCACACCAAGGCCGTCAGGCAAGAAAGTGTTTTGGAGCTGAAAGGCTCATGAGGCCATAGCGAAGGAAAGCTACAGGAGGAGGGGTCTCAGGCGACCTTGGAAAGACAGGAGGGCCACAGCATGCAAGACATAACGGGCCATGAGGGGGGTAGGGATCTTGATTTCTATCCTGAGAGCAAAATCCTCCTTGAAGGGGTGAGGAGGCTGCTGCCCAGTGTGGTACTGGGGTGGTGGACTGGAGCGATTTGAGAGGGAAAAGTGCCAGGAGTTGGTTATAGCTTGGATATGGAGGAGGGTGTCCAGGATGGCCCTCTGGATATTTGCAAATACTGCATTTGCTCTCGAGTTACCCAGGGAGAGTGGGTCCCCCACGCTGTCTTCATCTTACATACACTGTGCCTCCTACAAGCTGAGAGCTGTCAAGGACCCAGCGAGCTTGGCTTGACGTCTTTGTTGGGCCAGACCCTGTACTGCTCTTCTGTGGCGGCCAGGCCTGGTTCCGGTGGGAGTGCTAGCTGACCTCTGTCCTGCCTTTCTTACAGATGCCTTCCCCACCCACCAACACCTCCTGCTGCTGTGGATCGCACAGTGGTGACCAGGGCTGTGCGTCTCTGTGCAGGTCCTTGTTTTCACTTCTGTGGGGCGTACACCCAGAAGTGGAATTGCTGTAGTGTGTGTTGATTTTATATTTAATTTTCAGTGAGCCACCCTGTTTTCTGCAGCAACTGCACCATTTAGCATTTATCTTCCCTGTTTACGACTGAATAATATTGTATTCTATGGAGAGACTGCATTTGGTTTATCCGTTTTACTGTGGGGGGATGTTTAGGTTGTTTCCACCATTTTGCTATTGTGAATAAGGCTGTTACAAACATTCATGAACAAATTTTGTATTGAACATCTGTTTTAAGTTTTGGGAGTGTATAACTAGGAGTGGAATTGAGTTAAAAGGTTACTATTTTTAACTGTTTGAACACACATTAAACTATTTTACACAGAGGCTGCACTATTTTGTATTCCTATCAACAATGTAAGAAGGCTCCAATTTCTCCACGTACTCGTCAAAGCATCAACTTCTTTATTGTATTCATCAAAGTGTGTATGAGAACAGGCTTCTCTCAGTGTGGTTTTCCTTTTCAATAATTATAAAGTTGAACCTTCCAAGTGATTGTCATTTGACTGTCTTCTTTGGACAACTGCCTATTCATGTCCTTTGCTCATTTTAAGATTGGGTTGTGTAGCCCTGGCTGGTGTGGTTCAGTAGTTGGAGTACCGACCTGCTCATTGAGGGGTTGCAGGTTCAATTCCGGGTCAAGGACATGTACCTGGGTTGCAGGTTCAATCCCCAGCCCTGGTCGAGGTGCATGCAGGAGGCTACCAATCGATGCATCTCTCTCACATTGATGTTTCTTTTTCTCTCTCCCCTCCACTCTAACTAAAAACATCACTGGAAAAAAATATCCTTGGGTGAGGATTAACAAAAAACAAACAAAAAGATTGGGTTGTGCCCCTAGCCGATTTGGCTCAGTACAAACAGCATTGGCCCACAGACTGAAGGGTTCCAGGTTCGATTTTGGTCAAGGGCACGTACCTCAGTTCCAGGCTCGATCCTCAACCCTGGTTGTGGAGCACATGAGGAGGCAACCAATCAATGTCTTTCTCACACAGATGTTTCTCTCTGTCTCTCCCTCTCCCTTCCACGCTCCCCAAAAATCAATGGAAAAATGTCCGTGGGCCAGGATTAACCAAAAAAAGCTTCCGGCAAGGCTTTTTCCTAAATGGAGAGGCGGAGCCAGGGTGGATTGTGGGCGGGGCCAGGGTGGAGTAGGGGGCGGGGCAGGGCTTGCTGCTAGCGCTGAGCTGGAATTTGGGGGCGTGGCCTAGCTGCGCACCGGGAGCCCGAAGACCCGCTTGGATGTGCGGGCAGAGCGGGAATGGAGGTGAGAGGTCCCTGAACCTGAGGGAGGGAGGTGGCCCAACTGGAGCTGCACAGGGTTCAGGACAGGAGGCAGGCGGCTGGCGGACATGAGGTGAGTGTGGCCTGGGAGCAGCGCGGCAGGTCCTGAGGTGTGAGGCCAGGGGTGCGGAGGGCGTGAAGCGAGGTTGCCGGGTGTGGGGCGTGAGGCCTGAGGTCGGAGGCGAGGGCGTGAGGGGAGCCATGCGGAGGGCGTGAAGCGAGGTTGCCGGGTGTGGGGCCTGAAGCCTGAGGTCGGAGGCCAGGGTGTGAAATGTGAGGTGTGAGGTGTGAGGTGAGGGGTGCGGAGGGCGTGAGGCGGAAGGCGTGAGGCCTGAGGGGAGCCGTGCGGAGGGTGTGAGGCGAGGCCGCCGGCTGTGAGGCCAGAGCTGGCGCAGGGCCGGGAGGAGCGGCTGGGCCTCAGGTGAGGCAGCTCCCGACGGGTCCCCTCGTCGCTGTGACTTTTCTTTCCCCGGAGCCACAGCCGCCGCTCAGCTCGTTTCTAGAACCACGGCCGCCCTCCCAGGCTCCCCTGTGGCTGCTTCTGGGCCAAGTTCTTCTGTGCGTCCCTGTCCCCGCTGTAATGGACGCTCCTTAAAACAAGGGCGATGTGTTTGAGCTGTAAGAACATGGCCGTGTGGCTCAGTGGGTGGAGCGCCCTCCCGGCCGGACGCAAACAATGTTGCAGCTTTGGTCCCGCGACTGCGAGTCCGCGTTTCTCTACCTCCTCCCCGTCCCCTGACGTCAGGGAAGACGAAGGGGAACCGTGTGCAGATCCTCACACGCCTGCAGCGGGTCCTCATGGCATCGGCTCCCAGGGGTCATGTTCTCTGCAGGGAGCGCCCAGTCTCCTCTCTGACCCCGTGGAGCCTGCGGTGTGGCGTCCAGTGACCGCCCCGCAGCGCAGCCGGGAAGCCTGGAGGCCCAGGAAGCAGCGGAGACACTGCCCGCTGCTCAGGTGGCGCCGTGTCCCCGAGGCTGCTCCATGTGCCTCAGCAGACATGTAGGGGCGCCTCCATAGACCGGAGGCCTCTCCACAAGCCATGAGGCAGAACGAGTGTCGCCTGCAGAGGACCAGCGGGGGGTGGCTGGTGTGGGAAACGGGGTGTGTTGTGGTTTATTGTTTGTTGCAATGTAGTGAGAGTTTGGGTGAGGAGTGGGGTTACTGAACATAGATTTATTCATGCTTTGCTTCATCTTATAGAGGAACTAAAGACATTGGAACTATTAGCAAACATGTCCTGTGGAGCATAAAAAATTGTACTATGAGAAGGCATGTTTCTAGAAAGGTGTTTGTTCATGCATTTACCAATCTAAAGAATATTGGTTTCACAGACAGTTCACATTCCTTATGAAGGGATCACGGTTTTGCCACCTGATACTTGGAATCTTGATCTTTATGGAGGAGCAGGACTCAGAAAGACCCTTTGGCCCCGCCCCCTTTCCTGCCAAGAAAATGCTCTTCTCTGCTGCCCCCTAGTGAGCATAGTAGGAATAGCATCTTCTAAAGCGCCTGCTCATGTCATTTTGCAAGGACTGGAAGGCCCCGAGCTCTGAATGCCTTGTGTACCCAGTGTTCTCTTTATGTTTCAGCCTCTCCTGCAGGCAGGGCCTCTGACTCGCATGTATGTGAGGGGCCTTGCTGTGCACCCGGAGCCCAAAGACCCGCCAGGATGTGCGGGCAGAGTGGGAATGGAAGCAAGAGGCCCCTTGACCTTTAGGGGAAGGAGGTGTAGCCCTGAGGAGGGGGGTGGAGGGGTGGGGGTGGGGGTGGCCAAACTGGAGCCTACACGGGGTTCAGGATAGGAGGCAGTCAAGGGCACATGCTTGGGTTGTGGGCTCTATCCCCAGTGGGGGGTGTGGAGGAGGCAGCCAATCAATGTTGTTCTCTCATCATTGATATTTCTATTTCTCTCTCCCTC